GCATCCTAATCATTTTTCTGATCTGAAGAAAATGATTTCATTTGTTGAAATAGTTTTTACGATTAATTTAATACATTAGACTGATGTTTCAAATACAATTCATAAATAATTAGAAAAATATTTATCAATATTGTAATAAACGTTGTCGTTGATTTACTAATATGGATATGAAACCATTCGATTTAATATTAAATAATATGATCAAAAAGATTCGGGCGCTAGAATTTCATTTATTTTTATTGATTGATTTATTATTTTAGATTTATGCACTAATTCATTCATTTTTGTTATAACTGAAAATTTCTTTTATGTACTAAATGAACAGAATCAGGTTTTTAGAGTTGACTAAACATCTCAAAGAACAAAAATGAGAAAATGTTTAAAGAATAGTTGAAGTTAGACTAGTTTAGAGAGTGGATGTCGGTGTTGGTATTCTATAGAGCAGATTCTCACACCCACACCCCAAAGTCCCGTTTGCGAAAATCTTACTGGCAAAGAGCGAGTAAGCCAAAAATATTAGGCACAAAGAAAAATGTCATCAGCCATTCATCATAACCTAACATTACGATATCAATGTTTATTCTTAATTATTTTCAAGTCAGGCAATGAAAAAATAGAAGACATATATAGGTTGAAATGAATAGACATTATGAGTTAGACATGGACACTTCCAATAACAATTTTATCAATATATTAGATTTGCCCAATGAAATGCTACTGACAATTTTCAACAAATTGAATATGATTGATGTTCTTTATTCATTTGTGGATATCAATGAACGATTGAATCGATTAATACTTGATCCTCTTTATATTCGTAATCTTGATATGACTATGAAATCATTGCCTGATGACATTTCTTCAATATCTAATCAAGTTCTTAATAGAATTTGTAAAAAAATATTATCTCGTATTCATCATCATGTAAATAAACTTATTGTTGAATCACATTCAATAGTACACATTCTTCTTAATGTCAATTTTTATCCTCAACTTTTCTCGTTATCATTTGTTAATTTTTACGAAAAAATACTTTAGCAATACTTAACAGGTATATTATTGAAATTTGTTCGTTCTAATTAATACAATAATGAAATTGTTAAACATAAAATAATAATCATTTTTGTTTTTTTTTTTAATAGAAGGCGATTCAATTCTTCATCATCTTCTCACTGAACAAATCATACATCTTAATATTAGTATTCAGAATAAGAAAACATCACGATAGTCTAAACCGTTTTGAAATGCTTTTGTATTGAGTGTATCTTTATGTAGACGATTAATCAATTTGGATTTATGTCAATTGTTTCCTGATCGAAAGTTGCCACTTCTTATGTTTGATCTACCATCAACAATGTGTATGTCTTCAATTTTAACTCAATTGAAAATTAATGTCAGAACTTTTGATGCTTGTCTTTATCTTCTTGATGAACGCCTGGATTGTCCATCGATTTTGATTATTGATGTATCAGAAATTTCTTGTACATTATCAAATATAGATAACATAGTATGTGTATTTTCAATGATTGTGTTTTGAAGAAAAACGCTAAATTATATGGATAGAGATTCGTAATTTATTTTTCTTTATAGAAAAAAGTTCTAATTGACCTCGCGTGATTACACATTTCATTATGATAATGGAATTATTTCGTTACTTCGTCGTATGATAAATCTTGAAGAATTGTTATTATTTTTAGCTGTAGTAAGAGTTGACTTAAGTTATATTGATAGTACGTATTTAAACGAAGAAACTTAAGCTCATATACCTCGATTAAATAAATTAAGTGTCAGTATACACACAACTGTTATAAAGAAGAACATTAACTTTAATTTTCCATCTAATGAAGACGTTCAACATAGTTTCATCGAAAGAGGATACCAACAAGTTGGGTCCTATGTCGATTTTTCATTAATAGAAGATGAAGGAAGATGTCATGTTTATTTACTTTCATATCAATTCAAAACTTTTCTCCATCTTAACAATTCTTTTTCAGGTAGCGTGTTTGATAAAGTTAAATGCTTATTGATGACTAATGGACGTTCTTTTGAACATGAATTTTTTAAAATCATCTCGCAAGCTTTTTTCTTTTCTCAACGAGCTACGTATATCTAATGATCAATCACAAAAAATTGATAAAATCAATCAGCTAAAATAAATCATGACAATAAGATAAAATCTTCCATCTAAACTATACTTGTACAAGAGTCGCTTTATTATTATTGTTTCTAGTTATTTATCTACGATTTAAAGAATTTGTTTTGCTAAATAATCTCTTTCAAATGAATCTCGTTAGTTTGCTTTGGTAAACATTTTACATTTCCTAAGAAAAAGATTTTTTTTTTCTGTTTTGATATTAGTCAAATTTTTAGTTACAATTAATGACAGATTGCAAAGTGAATGAAGGAAAACGAAACAAAAATCATAGAAATATAAATATGTATTATTTTCCTTTACTCATTAGTTGACTGACTTATAGAATTACCTGAAAAATAGAAGTAACAACTATAAATATATGTGCTTTTAACACTTTCGAGGCAACAATAGTGTTACAAAGAATAAACATAAATGAAAGTGAATAAAAAACAAAAGTCCAAGCCATCTTTGTATCTTCAGATTCGATGAAAAGAAAATACTTTTGATAGAATCATAAAAACATTGTTGATAATAAATGACATGCATCACTTGATAATGCAGCTATATTAAATATATCATTAACATAATATTATAACATTTGAACATTAAAATAAGCCGATAAATATTTAACTTAGTAAAATAAAATAACTAATACAACACTCTATTGTAGTTCTAAGTGATAATTGATATATACCTTTGAACAAAAGTCTTTTCATCCTATGGTTTTTATATTATCTTGCACTCATTTTGTTCCAAGTGAATGTAAATTATAAGGATGTCTGAAATACTTTATTTCAATATAGTGTGTGTCTGATCCCTCTTTGCTTGAATAAAGACTTGATATCTTTCAGTATTATTGTTCATTGAATAATTCTACAAATGAGGTTTTTTGGCAAAAAGATCCATAATTTGATTATCTCTTTTATGGATCTACTTATGATTTTACTAATTTTGGCTTATTAAAGTTTCTTCGTTCTTGACTCAAAGCCCAATCAAGAATATGTAAGAAATTCGACAGATTCAAAAAAATCAAGAACAATAAAACAATCAGTAGATGTCAACAAAGAAATATCTAAGTTATAAAAATTCTTGGTCAACTGATTCATTGGTGGTATTTGACTAATGATAATAAAAGATATAGAGCCTTCATCGAAGAAAATAGAGATAAAACAATACACTATATTCATATCAATTAGTTAAGATATTCTTGTAATTAAGATTCACTTAAGAAAAATAGATGCAAGAAAGATTAAGAAAAGAGGGAGAAAACACTTTTGTTCGTATATGTACGTTAACTATATAGATGTAGTTTTGTTTCTTGATCTTTTCATTGTGTATATGACATAATCGAATATTTTGGACTCATGGACGGACCACCAAGAGATAATAGGAAGCCATTGCGACATCTAAAATAGTTGTTGATAATATCATGAGCGGATCAACAGAGAGTAATCGTCACTAATTGCCAGACCTAAAAATGACTAGTGACATACATAGCTTTGAACAATTAGTTTTCTTTAATAATAATATAATATCACAATTTATTATCTAGCCTCAATGTAAGACGCTGACCTGTTGAACTTGGTCTATAATTAATTCAGTTGTATAAAGATCTGATCCATCAGATGTTTCTATTTTTGAGATATTTCATCGAAGTGAACATAATGGCAAACAATAACAGTATTCTTGTCTTGTGCACATTAACGATGACGATGATGTATCAGCTGTTTGACTAGAGTACATTGATAGACAGATCAAAAATAAAAGGGTTCAATGAAAAATCTGTATCAAAACTAAAACTATACTATCGAAATGTAGAAAAAAAAACGTATGTTCAAATGATCGTCACGTATGCATTTTTTTCAATACTTTTCACAGCTTCGTGCAATATTTAAACATTTGTCACAAAAGAAAAATTCATTAGCAATTTTTCTTCTCGATCAATCTCTTTACTTCACATCTTAACCTTAAACCTGACGCCTCAAGATTGAACATGATAAACTACAGATAACATTTTCTTCTCATAGTGAAGATGACATTTTAAATTAATAGACTATTTTACTTATTATTTGAAAAAGTATTTCTTTAGAAGATAAAATACATCTGTTGTTATCGTAATTATAATATATGATGCGAGACATATGATTTATTATTCTCATTTGAATACGTCGTGCAAGCACAAATTTACATTTTCTTCATTTATTTAAAAGATATTTTACTATGTTTTGTAGTATTATGATTCTCTATCTACTTTCAATATTATCAGATATGACATTCTTTTTTTTTTGTTTTTACCCAGCATTATGAGAAAAACAACCTTTTAGAACATCGTCTCAATTCTTTTCTATGAAAACAACTACATTTATACATATATTCTTTCATTCATTCCTCATTTCAAAAAAAAAATATAATTCTCTATAACAGTATTTATTCGTTCATCTCTATATATGAATTTTGGTCACTAAGCATAATCGAAAATGAAAACATTTATCTAAGTGCGAAAAATGTGTATCTATCGGTTAAATGATTTTTCCATATAGAGTTGATTTGTTTTCTTTTTTTTTTTATTGAAATAAATGTTTCGTGATTGAGAATCTATCTTCTTTGCATGTTTTTGATATTTAATTAATATAAATATGAGGAATTAGTTTGCGGCGCTAGTATACATGTTTAATATAGTTCTCCAATCAGACCAAATACGAGTTGAGACAGCTAAGTGACTCATCCTAATAAGAAGAAATAAATTGAATAGACGGAAAAAATATAAAAGGATGAATGAATTATCGATAGAAGAAAAAAAGAAAATTGTTATTTTTTTTTGAACTATTCCAGATGATTTTTTATAGAAATTAATTTCAATCGAGATATGGAATTGAGCGATCTCGTACTTGACTGTAAGTTATATCGAAAAAAATCAATAAATAAATAAATAAATACTGAACTTTGATTTCATATAAAAATAATTTTCTAGTTTACGAGATGACCAGTGCAGGCCGAGTTGACATGAGTGATTTCGAATTACTTAAAGTACTTGGCACGGGAGGTAAATAAGATTATTATTATTTTTTTCAATATAAAAACAAAAATATTCATTTTTAGCTTACGGTAAAGTTTTTCTCGTGCGTAAAATAACCGGTGCCGATATAGGAAAACTATATGCAATGAAAGTTTTAAAAAAAGCAGCTATTTTACAAAAAGCTAAAACAGCTGAGCATATTAAAACTGAACGACAAGTTTTAGAAGCAATTCGTCAGATTCCATTTTTAGTATCACTTCATTATGCTTTTCAAAGTGATTCTAAACTTCATCTTGTTATGGGTATGTTCATTGTTCTCAAAAAAAAATAAAAGATACACACAAACTATTTTATTCATATTTAGATTATGTCAGTGGTGGAGAATTATTTACACATCTTAACAAACGACAACGTTTTAGTGAACAAGATGCGAAAATATATATCGCCGAATTAACACTTGCTCTTGGTCAATTGCATAAAGTAATGTTTTGAAAGTGAAAACAATCTCAACAATAGTACAAAGTTCGTTTTTTTTTTAGCTTGGAATTATTTATCGGGATATTAAACTTGAGAATATCTTACTTGATAATGAAGGTCATATTGTTCTAGCAGATTTTGGTTTAAGTAAAGAATTTCGACCGGATGATGCGGTAAGATTTAAATAGTTTGTTTTTTTTCGTGATATTTCAATATTGTTAAATTAATGAAGGATAAACGAACATATTCATTTTGTGGTACAATTGAATATATGGCACCGGAAGTTGTTAAAGGTGGAGATGCTGGACATGATTTTGTAAGTTTTGATTGAAAATAACGATAAAATATATTGTTAACATGTATATAAAAATAGACTGTTGATTGGTGGAGTCTTGGTGTTCTTACATTTGAACTTTTAACCGGTGCATCACCGTTTACTGTCGATGGCGATCGAAATACTCAACCAGAAATATCAAAGTAAAGTTTTAAGAGTATCAAATCTAAAAAAAGAATAAACTTCATGAAATGTAATTTTTTTATTTTAGACGAATAGTAAAAAATCATCCATTAATACCAAGTCATATATCGAAAATAGCCAAAGATTTTATTCTTAAACTTTTAATAAAAAATCCAAAACGTCGTTTAGGTTCGAAAGGATTAGAAGATATTAAACGTCATCCATTTTTTGGATCTGATATGGATTGGGATGCTATAGCACAAAAACGTGTTCAAGCGCCAGTTAAACCAAAACTTAAAAATGAAATGGATACAAGTAATTTTGCAGAGGAATTTACTCGTTTACCAATAACAGATTCACCTGGATTAGCTCCACCAACTGAAAGTCTCTTTCGAGTTAGTTCAATTTTGTAAAACAATTCATACTTTTTATTATATTAATCGTTTTTTTTAAGGGTTATTCATTTATTTCGCCTACTGTTATCTTTGGCCCAGAGAATGCAGTAAATGAAGATTTATATAATCTACTTCGTCTTACAAATTATCAACGACCTGATCCATCACAATTGCATCGATTGATTAAAGTTTGTTTCTTTTATGTCTTTTTTTGTTTTTGTTTGTGACATTTATTTTTACGTTACGTTTTATAATTTAGACAAGTTCGTTTTTTCGAAATTATGAACTTATCGATCGTGAAGGTTTTCTTGGTGAAGGCAGTTATTCAATCTGTCGGTTAGTTAAATTGATTTTGTGCTAATTCTGTTTATTCTTCGATTTGAAAAATTTTAGACGTTGTCGAAATCGTCGAACACAAGAAGAATTTGCTGTAAAAATAGTTTCACATAGACAAAAAGTTGATGCACAAAATGAAATTGAACTTTTACATCTATGTCAAGGTCATGCTAATATTGTTAAATTACATGAAGTTTATTCTGATGAGGTTAGTTATGTTAAAATGATATTTTTTTTCAAAAGTATTGAATAGAAAAATCATCTTAATCATTGTACAGTGGACATACGATTAATTAATCTTCCCACAGTGGACACTTTTTATAGTCTTACGAAATAATGTTTGCTTGGATTCAAGGCATGATAAATTCGAATGTTCAGGAAATTCAAGTTTCTGCACATCATTATACAGGATGGTCCAAAATTTATTCAAGATCTTTTGCTTACGAATAACTTTTGATCATGAGCACACTTATCTAGCACATTTGACGCCTTGGTCAACAACCGACTTTATTGCATCATACATTGAACCATGCAATGACATAGTCCCTTTCCAGTGGTGAAAGCTGTAACTCTCTATCATGTTTCTATCAAAACTTATTCGTTAGAGAAGACTGTCTGATTACTTTTGGACTACTCTGCATAATGAATGATTCAAGCTAAGCAATATCACTGCAGGCATCTAGATTAAATATCGATAATGCTTAAATAAAACTCATATTTAGGTATCGTACTGAAGATATACAATCCCTAATTTAGCATTGGATAGATTAAGAGATACACTTCACTATGAAAGAGTATAGACATTGTACGCTGTTTAAGGCTTGAATTATGTCAGGATAGTTACGTTTTCTTAAAAATACATATGAGATGGAAATGAGTTTCTTCATCCCAATCCAATTCAACGTAATCCAAAATTATACACATTATTTCTATTTTCTTTTTATGTTAAAATCAATCCCCTATGTGTTTGTTTTAAAGTATCGATTTGAATTGCCAGACAATTTTTGTTTCATAGTAATATCGTTTGAATTTCCTGTAAATAGGAACTTACTATTTTATGTATGAATCGATTCTCTCCGTAATGAACATTACTTAGGAGTTCGGAGAAAATAGTTTAATTTGAGAACTGTCAACAAGCCAGTTCGATATTAATGAGCATCTGAGGAAACTAGTTGAAGCAGATAGGAAAGAGTATGGACGAAATGTCTATGGTGAAAGATACGTTAATTTTGTATGAAGTATTTAAAATGATGAGATAGCTTTATCTTTTTGTGTTCATTCAATAGCCTCAGTTGCGTATGTTTCATTTCCTATCTCAAATTGCAATCAACTAGCATTTATCTGAACTCGAAAGTCGTAAAACAGCGATCTGTCAATGATCACTTGAAAAATTGTTGATTTTTAAAAATACTAAAATACATGAAAAGACAGGTAGTAAGTTGCTTCTGTTGGCTATTTTATTCAGTACCATTTTTCACATGTTCAAGAAACGTGTGCTTTTCTTTGAAAAATTTTCTTTTAGAAAAAGACTTTACCTCCCTATAGGAAAGTTTTACTGTAGTATATGATTTAAGTGCTGTTTTAAGTAGTTTCATATACATCATTGGACACACTTTGAGAAACTGGCTCTTTTGATTAAATTTTATTTGAAATATATCAATTCGTGTGCTCCAAAGTAATGAATTTTTTTTTGTCTATATGTCATGGTAACCACAAATCTTTACTCTGATTGACAAATATGTTAATGTCTAAGTAACGATGCAGGAAGATATGGTGACGAAGTGCCTTGAAAATAACTCCTGTATAAATGCATACTATCTTTGTCTGTTTTTTTTTATCAAGTTGCATACATATATTATAATGGAATTATTAACGGGTGGTGAACTTTTCTATCGAATTCGTACACAAACATCATTTTCTGAAAAAGAAGCAAGTCAATTAATGAAAAAACTTGTATCAGCTGTCAATTTTATGCATAGTAATGATTTATGTCATCGAGATCTTAAACCAGAAGTAGGATAATCTTAGTTTAATTTGATTTTTTTAAAATAGATATTCATCTTTTATAGAATCTACTGTTCTCATCATCTGCTCCCGATGCTGAAATAAAAATAATTGACTTTGGTTTTGCTAAAAAACGTATTAAACATCAAACAATGACAACACCATGTGGTACACTCTTGTAAGATAATAGAAAACTTCTTTGAGTAATATTTTTAAAATTGTTTTATACAGATATACAGCACCAGAAGTATTACGTACTGCAACATCATTTAATTGTTCTCAATTATCTTCTCTTTCTACATCATCCTCATCCTCATCATCATCAAGTACAACTGTAGCTTTTGTACCTTCCATAACAATAAATACAAGTGCAATTACATATGGTTATGATGAGTCATGTGATTTATGGTCTCTGGGTGTTATTTTATATACAATGTTAAGTGGTGAAGTTCCATTTAATTCAATAACATCTCATCGAACAGCTGAAGATATTGTTGAAGATATAGCACGTTCTCAATTATCATATGATACACCAGCATGGAAAAATGTTTCACAAGCAGCTAAAGATCTTGTTAAAGGTATATTTTTTATTATTACTCAGTTAATAATCATAGTTTTGTTGACAATATATTTATTTCATTATATTATTTTTATCGGTTAGGTTTATTGACAGTCGAACCATCAAAACGTTTAACAATTAAAGATTTGTCGAGGAATGCTTGGCTTCGAGGTTCAAGTATTCCAATAACACAGGATCATTTAATGACACCCAGTATACTTTGTCAAGCATCTCGATCTCTCATTGTATGAAATTTAGAAAAAAAAAAAACTTCTAAATTAATAATAATTCATTTTTATATCAAGGTTCGTGCTGTTAATGTAACAATGCGTGCATTTCAAAAAGCTGGTCAATTTCAATTATCTTCTGTTACTGATGGACTTCTAGCACAACGTCGTCATGCAAAAAAATCGACCGATTCATGTTCATCAACATCAAGTTCGACAACGACATCGACTACAGCCGTTGTACCTACTAATAACATTTCTTCATCTACATTACCACATACTCGCCGTTTATGTGGTAATGGTGTTTGTCGTTGTCGTCATGCTCCATGTCCACCAACGAATGATATATTATCTTTGCCTTCATTTGATTTTAGTGAAGAAAGACTTTCACAATTAATCGATCAATATCCATTGACGACAACAACAGTACCACCAAAGAGATATGGAATGACATTACGATCACGAACAACAGCTGCTACTAATGGTAATCATCATGAATTTGCATCTCCTGCTCCACCTCCACCTTTATTACTTGTACCTTCTTTATCATTTTCTTCTTCTTCATCGTCGTTGTCATCGGCTTCATCGTTGTCTTCCATTGCTACAGATATTCTTCCTTCCACTAATACTAATAGTGAGAAACGTCCATTAACATCACCAATTCATCATCCATTAGCGTCAGCCAATAAGAAAGTCAAACGATCGGGTACCATAACTATTAATGATTAGAGTCTCGCTTGCTTTTATTTTCATTATAAATTATTTGTTTTTGCATTTTCCTACTTCTTTCTTCTTATATGTACGATATTTTTGTGTTAAAAACAAAGAAACACCTTTCTTCAATGATTACTACTACTATTATTATTATTATTACTAATATTGTTAGTGTTCGGGCTCATTTATCGTTATTGTTGTGAGTTTGATTAATGAACAACAACTATTTCTATATGTACGTGCGTCTTTCTCATCAGTTTCTGTTTCTGTTTATATTCTTTACCGTTGTCATCAACCTGTCGTTCTGTTTTTTTTGCTGTTGTTTTTTTTGCAATAATCACAACGGACGATAGATATTGTGAACATAGATTATTGATGCAGACATAATGTATTCTTAGGTTTGCTTCTATGTTTTCCAACGTAGTTTTGTGGATAAACATAAATAACTCGTAATGATCAGAAATAAAACCCTGATTTTTCAGCCTTAATACGACTTTATCAAGCATAAATTAACAAATGCGTACTTCATGACCAATAGTGTGTCAATTAATTTGTTCATATTTGATTCTTTCTCTTTCTTGTTCTCGAAACATAAATATGACGAGACAATGTTGCAATGATAAAAACGATTTTCACGAAAAATACTTTATTGTTTGTGTAAAAATAATGAATTTTTCAATGATAAAGCTTCTTATGTACAATAGTCGCATCATGTTCTTCATGCAATGACGACAAGAGTAATCGAAGAATCACTCGAACAATTCTTGAGACAGAAATTTAATGTCTACTTGAGACAATCGATCGTGAAAGGTACATCGTCTATATTACGAAATATGAACAAAATGAAATGTTACATTTTATAAATTATAGAAATAGTCTTTCAACAAATACAATCTGTCATTTATCATTCGTCATTTCTATGCTATCGTTTTAGAAAACAGCGAATCAAGTTCATTAAGTTCCTTGAAATCAGTCTATTTGTAGCTCTATCAATGACAAAAAGAATTTAGTCAAATAGAAATCAATCAGGTGTTTCTTACGTGCTGTGACATTATTAGAAAAACTACGATTGTTGAAAAGTGATATGTCGATGATTTGATCTTAATCATCTTATCAGCTATTAAGTTTTGTCAATTTGAGAGATAATATTTCGAATGAAACGTCAGTAAGTTGTAACGCGATATTCGTGAAAAAAATCATCGTTCGTCGGTTTAATTAACAACAAAGGAACTATCGTGTTCTACTTTGTCACATTACTAAATGAACAAAAATTCGGACAAAAAAGATTGTAAAAGAAAAAGTGGTTATTATGAACGATGCAGAAGTGAAACAGCAAATAATTTCCTTCGATCATCAGGTTTAAAACAATTATCACGTGTCTTTGATATTGAAGAGTTTACGGAATATTACCAAACAACATATATTGTTTGTCCATATTATACAAGTCGTTTATTGATAAATGATAAACAAATTATACTTTGTCTATATAATTATTTTATTGACTCACGTGTACGAAATTCAATGCAAATATCAATTAATAATTTAATCATTATTATGGATCGGTGTAAAAAAAACTCATTTGATTTGAATTCATGTAAGACTAAGTTTGTCTTTTTTTAGCACATTATATAAAAGACTGTGTACCTGAATCCAATGAAATTTGAAATGAGAAAATATGATACAATTGAATCTAGTCTTTCATTAACATTACAGTCATTATCTTCAACACAATAACAATGAATACTTCATATATCTGGTTATTCTGAGTATGATCAGTCAAATGAAGAATCTGATTGACTTGAACATTTAAATATTGATCAATCTGAAAATGGATAAGACCAAATATCACAATTAAATTTTGATGATTAAAAAATTCGTAATGTATTGAAATTTCTTGCTGAAAGGTTTTCTGCAATTATTTTAGGGTTTGAAACAAAATATCTAAGAGAATACTATAAATTGACCCTTAGAAAACTTATTTGAACTATTTCATCAAGGAAAATTTATAGATCGATTTATTATTAATGCTGATAAAGCAGCTACACATGCTAAGTTTATATAAATTTAATAAATAATATTTTTATTTTAGAAAACATCAACCAACAAGTAGATATGAAGTTATTCAAACTGTTGATCGTATACGAACAGCATTAACAAAGCGTGTTTTTAAACAGGCAAATTTGTAGAAAATTTTGATCTGTAAGATTATAATCATTTACTTTAACATTATCTGTCTTTCAAGATAGATTGTTCTAAAATTAAATCGAGTAGAGATAATTTTTCATTTTAATGAATGTAAATCTTAATTTTTTTATCTTTAGTAATTTATCGATTCTATATGTTGATGATTATCAATTTATTGATGATTACAAAATAATATTAAAAACAATTTTCATTTGAACTAAGTGAAAATGCACTTTCACAAATACAACAATCATCTGAAGATTTGATGGATGTAACAAAAAATAGATTGATTGATATAATTCAAAAATCAGCTCAGTTAAAACTACATCAACGTAGTTTAGTTAAAATAACTTATCCTCTTCAAATACAACAATGAATATATTATTGTTTATCAGCAAGTGTTGTATTTGCTAAAGATTGAATGATCAAATTATACTTCATAAAACAATGTATCGTTTATTTAACAACATTCATGATATGATATAAAATCAAAATCTTAGCAATGTTTCTGTTGTATTCGTTCAGTGTTAGAAAAACATTCAGAATATTCATGCATTTCGATCACATAAAAAAAATTGTAGAAAACAATATATCAGAGAGAGCTAAATATGTAAATACTGTTGACTAAAATTACATATGGAAAATTTTAACATTTGTTAGGACAAGATAGCAAACAGGAAGTAAATATTTTCTTTGGTTCTAGTTAAAAATAGAATTTTTACATTAGATGATGAAGAAATAACATAATACTAGCCTACTCTGTTGGGGATAATTTTTCATGAAATATCTCATATTATATGTCGCTTGAAAATTCTTGTAATAGAGTTTCTACTATTTGAAAAGGTTATAAAATCGATTTGTAATCTTGATCTATATATTGATGAAACAGATAAGCTAGAGTGCATCAAATATTCAAAAAAACTTCAGAAACAAGTGAAAGATCAAATCCAGCAAAATATTTTAAAGCAGTGAAACAGCAATCAATCAGATTGATTGCTATCGCCTGGTAAAAACATGACGAATATGATATTTTGGGAAGATAAAAAACAGTAAGACACTGATCGTATTACTATTCGTACTTGTACGACCTATGTGTATGTGTTAGGGGCAAATTTGAAATATTAGTTTTGACCAGACAAAATTAGAATTCCAATTTCGCCCGAATAAAATCAAGATTTCACAAAGAGAAAAATCCATAATCACATATTTTACTAAAAGTCGAATGAAATGACAAAAAAGAGACCACTTGAGTTATATGAGTCGTGTTAATAAAGCAGTATAAATACAGCTGTACATGTTACAGTCTAATCAAAGAATGCTTGAATCGGTTCTAACAATTAGTAACACATGCGATTGTAAAAAATAAATATGTTACAAAACAATGTTCATGTAAAATATAGGAGTTTTTTGTTCGATAAACTTCATTCTAGATGAGGTGATTATACAAATATGATTAAATAGACTGAAGTATTTTGACTTGAGACGTGTTTACAAAAATAAAAATAGTTATCCTATTAACATTTTATTTATTCGGATTTTATAAACTTATCTCTAGTCAACTTCTAATATTGTTTGGGCAAAATCAGATTTCAAATTCTGCTCGAAGAAATCCTCATTCATATTTTATTTCTAATTTTGTCTGATCAAAACTAGAATTTCATCAATTGTACTTCCAATATATATCAACTTCGTTTCTTTTTTAAAATCCTGTTATATGAACTTTCATGACAGACTGAATATCAACATTAATGAATGATCAATTAAAACATATCTCTGAGAATATTTCATTTGTTGTGTATTATTGATTTGTTTTTATCTGTTTTTTTTTATACAACTTGCAAAGAACAAATTCATAATTAAATTAAAGATTAAAAAAAGACTATCATATTTTCATTCAATCACAACCGAATGTTTACCGATACCATTCAAATTTTCAAATTAAACAAAAATTACACTTTATGTTGCATTTTTTTTGTTCTATATATTTTTAGTATCTATTTCGTGTACGGATAGAAAGTGTGTCATTTTTTTTTTGTTCTTCATTGATTTCAACATAAGCAGAGTAACGCTTTTATCACTAAATGTGTGTCTATAGTTTTGTATTTTTTGTTCCATTTTTTTTTCTTTATTCTCATGCACAAATTGGTTTTTTTTTTATTTCACGAGAGAGTGAAAGAAGAACAGGCCGTCATTTACTGTTGGTTTACTAGTAGAAGTAGAGAAACAAATATTATAATTTACATAGTTATTTAGGACAAAAAAGAGGCGAAGAAGTTGTGGCTGTTGTACGTTTTGGATAAGATTTTAAATATTCATCTTCACTTAATTGCAAAACATCGGGACGATCTCGTGCTTGATAAGTTAAACATCGACGAATAAATGATTTGGCTTCATTAGATACTTGAGGTCGATTAGGAAACTGAATTTCTTTAGCATTTAAAATTGTTTGATTTTCTAATATAGCTGCTTGAGATAAATTATGACCATATGGTTTTCGACCATATAAACATTGATAAAAAATACCTAATGAAGAAAACAAAAAACAAAGAATTTCATTGATTATATACGAAATCAATTAGTTAAACTCACAGCCAACACTCCAAACATCAACTTTGGATGAAATCTTAGGAGGATTAGGACCTTGAACAAATACTTCTGGTGGTAGATACCAATAAGTACCAGCACCTAGGAAAAATAAATATTAATAATTAAACTTATTAACAATTAAATATTTATTTACCTTGAGATGTAAGATCCATTCCATCATCAGCATCAAATGTATCTTCATGCATTTGTTTAGATAAACCAAAATCAGTTATTTTGATTTCACCACTATTATTTCCTCTTCCCAAAAGAACATTACCTGGTTTTAAATCATAATGAATCTAAGATAGCAAAAAAAAGAAAAGAATTATTTTCATTTATTTATTTATTTATTATTTCTTTGTATATAATAATTAAATAAAACAGACCACAGGTGGTTTGATTTCTGAATTAAGATATTTCAATGCATTAAGTGTTTGCATTATGATTGAACGTGCTTCTTTTTCTGGAATTGTTTTATTTTGTTTAAGAAAAAAATCTAAATCATTTCCATTACAATATTCCAAAACTGTACAAAATGAATTTGTATCGATTTCAAATACATCAAATAATTTAACAATACCTAAATAAATATTTTTTTTTTTCTTATATAGTTATATATACATACAATAGATAACAATATTTTATTCAATAAGGTTTATTTTTTTCATCTATTCATAAGTATTAGAAAATTTCTAAGTAGTAATTCAAGTAGAAAATAAAAATGACTATCAGATTTTGACAGATAAAGATTCCAGAAAACCAAAATTCTAGTTTTTCAACTTCTAAAATGCATCAGTATAATTTTATTTCGACTATGTAGAACAATAGGCGAAAACATTTTCTACAAAATAGATGTCTCCGAGTTCTCTGCAATAGGTTTTATTTTGGGTGACATACAGTAATTTGATTGAAGGTCAAAAAACGGTTTTTCTATAGAAAATAGTAAAAATAACAACTTAGATGCGTTCGTAAAATTGCTATATCTTAGCTAAATAATATTACAGAATAAGCAAAGACGTGTTATTTTGTAGAGTTTAGTTTTCTCTATCGTTCTATATAGTCTAAACAAAATAATATTTATGTGTCTTAGGTGTTGAAAAACAAGAGTTTTGTTTTTTTTTTTCTGAAGTCTTTCTCTTTGAAAATCTAATAATAATTTTTACTATTTTTCTATTATTATTATTATTGAAAAAAAAAAGTATTTCTTGAATCACTATTTAGATTCTTTCTAACGCTTATGGTAACAGAAAAAAAAAATAAACCTAATTGAATAATTTTTGTATTCATTGTATATATGAATTAATAAAAAACAAAAAAAAAACATACGTTTATGTTCTAAATGTTTATGTATATTATATTCTCTAACAGCATGTTTAATATAATTAACTTTTTTTTCATCTTTCCATTCTTTATTTAATTGATGAATTTTACATGCAACATAACGTTGTTCACGTAAATCAAATGCACGATGTACTTCACTAAAACCACCTTTACCAATCAATGTTAATAATAAATATCTTTCATTAAGTATATTATTTTTATTAAATCTTGAATGATCTTCATTATATAAACGTTTTAATTCTCTTATATGAACATTTCGTTCACGATCAAGTTTTTCTAAATCTTGTGCTAAATCACATTCTTCACGTTTAAGTGTTAATTGTCGAAGACGAAGTACTTCATCATATTCATACCAATCTTGTAATGTCATAATAGATGATGAAAAATTTGAAATAAGAGATGATGATGATGATGATGAATTTCCACTATCAATAGGTGGATTATTATCACTAGAATATAAATAATGACCATCATTTGAATTATCAGAAAGTGCTTGAATTTGTTGATGTCCAATAAATGATGATGAACCCATTAATGGATTATTATTATTATTATTATTATTATTATTGTTATTATTATTATTATTAAATGTTACAATGAGTGATGGCGATGATATCGGTTGAAGTTTTTGTTGACTAAAAAATAAAAAAATTGTTTCGTTTTTTTTTTTTGCTTTTCCTTAAGTAAATCTATTAAAGATTCATCAATATATTTATTCTATTGAAATGAGTAAACTCCAGATAAATAGAAAAAAGAAACAAAAATAATGTTTTAATTTCTTTTTTAATTATTCAAAAATCATAGATAATTGTTTTTTTTCTGATAATTTCTTTAATTTAATATAATTTACTTTAAAGAAAAATTGAAACAATCAATATTTACCTAGTGGATGTTTTGAGAGTTGAAGGTCTATTTGTTCGTTTAGATTTCGTTGGTGGTACAAACACCGGATTATTAAAATCTTGATAATTCGAACTATTATTCATAATCATTGTTTCATCTGCTATAGTTGTCATCATTAATTGTTGTTGATGTTGTTGTTGTAAAAATGTTTTCTTTTTAGTTAAAGTTTTTCGTTCACGATCAAGATTTTCTTTAGCACGTGCTAATTGTTCTTGTGAACGTTGTTTATCCAAAAAATCATAACCATCAACCCATTGTTCAACAAATGATGTACCTTGTCTTTGTGTAACAAATTGACCAAGACGTAAACGATTTTCCATTGATTTTTCTCGTGCTTCTTTTTTTTCTAATTGAGATTTTTCAATTAATAATGAACGTGTCATAACAAGACAACGTTTTATTGTTTCAACAGTTGATTCATATTGACGTTGTGTATCAGATTTTGTACGACGTAATTCTTCAATTTCAACTGTTAATTTTTGTTGTTCAATATCAAGATGATGATGACTAGATGTAAACATTGAGAATGAAGGTTCAGTTTGAGTT